CCAAAAGGTATAAATTCGGCTAGTAATTAACCGTGTTCGTGGAAACTCTCACCATGCTTGATTAGATCCCAATCTTTTGAGATGTTCCAAAATGTGACCTCTTGGATATTTTATGAGACATTTTGGATTAGCAGTGTAACAAATATTGATTTGTCTTTGCTAGAATTTTGGTATATTAAAAACACCCAAGGTATTGCATTCGTACGTCCAAGTATACTTTAGAAACATGTGGCTGTGCAAAAACCATTGAAGTCGCAGAAGGGGTTTTTAGGTACAAACAGATACGTATCTTTAAAAATGACTTGTGCTAATGTACAGATCTTATTTTTCCAGACTTCTACGTTAGTTTTCAAGGACAAAGAAGGCAAGCCAATCACTAAGATTTAAGAACAGATGAAAAGACTAGCAGAACACTTCGAGGAGCTCTTGAATAAACCAGCTCCATTGAACCCACCGGATATCGAGGTAGCACCTACAGACCTTCCCATAGATGTCACTAAACCGACGATCGAAGAAATCAAGATTGCTATCAGACAAATTAAGAGTGGGGAAGCAGCAGGACATGACAATATACCAGCCGAAGTTCGCAAGTCAGACATGAAATCAACTGAAAACATGCTTCACAGTTTGTTCAGGAAGAGTTGGGAAGAGGAACAAGTGCCGACAGACTGGAAAGAAGGATACCTCATCAAGATACCAAAGAAAGGAGGTCTGAGCAAATGTGGGAACTGCAGAGGTACCAAAATACTGTCAATACCCGGAAAGGTTCTCAACAGTGTTGCCAAACTGGATGAAAGACTCCGTAGACGCTGAACTCCGAGGTCAACAGACCGGATTCCGTAAGGATCGGTCGTGCACAGACCAAATCGCAACGCTACGGGTCATCGTTGAACAATCAACTGAATGAAACTTGTCACTATACATCAACTTCCTTGATTATGAGAAAGCATTTGACAGTGTGGATAGGAGAACATTATTGAAACTTCTTCGACACTATGGAGTACCTGAGAAAATTGTCAGCATCATACAGAGTTCATACGACGGACTACAGTGCAAAGTCGTGCATGGAGGACAGCTGATAGACGCATTCCAAGTAAGGACCGGAGTCAAACAAGGCTACTTACTCTCTCCCTTTCTCTTTCTTCTGGTGGTTGACTGGATTATGAAAATCTTTACATCTCAAGAGAGGCACAGAATACAATGGACAACTTGGACACAACTAGACGATTTGGGCTTTCTAGATGACCTAGCTCTTCTATCCTATACACACTAACAGATGCAAGTGAAGAATCAGTGCAGCAGTAGTCTCTGCATCGATAGTCCTCAACATACACAAGGGAAAAAGCAAGATCTTAAAGTAAGACACGGAGAACAATCCAATCGCACTTGATGGAGAAACGCTGGAAACTTTCACACACCTGGACATCGACACACAAGGAGGATGGGATGCAAACGCAGAGGCAAAGATTGGCAAAGCAAGGGTAGCATTCCCACATCAGAGGAACATATGGGACGCAAAACAACTGTCAATCAATATCAAAGTCAGAATCTTCAATACGAACGTCAAGAGAGTCCTACTTTGCGAAGCTGGAACTTGGAGAACCGCCACAATCATCAAAAAGGTACAAGCGTTTCTAAACAATTGTCGACGTAAGATACCGAATATCCGTTGGCCGGATACCATCAGCGATAGCCTACTGTGGAAGAGAACAAACCAGGTTTCAGACGAGGATGAAATTAGAAAATGACGTTGAAAATGGATGGGACATACATGACGGAAATCACCGAACTGCATCGCGACGCAAGCCCTAACTTCCAATCCCGGAGGGAAACGAAAAAGAGGGAGGCAAAAAACACTGTTGAGAATTGGAAGCAGACATGAAAAGGATAAATAACAACTGGAAAGAACTCGGAAGGATTGTCCAGGACAAAGTTGGATGAGGAATGTTGGTGAGCGGCTTATGCTCCTCCATGAGGGGTAACAGTCGTAAGTTATTGTCCATTTACAAGATTCATTTGAACCTATGAGCGAAAATTCATATTGTTGGTCCAAGGTGAACATAAGCTTTATCAGCTTGTAATTCACCTACATTTTATATGTTTATGGTTGATCTTGGAGGTGGTCCGGTTCAATCAGATGAGCGGGCATCAGTCTGTCATCCTATCCCTTTCATCCGTTTAAACATTGCCTAAAATGTTCTAAGACTCACCCGGTCATATAGACATATTTGTGGTGTTATTGGTTACCGACCACACGATCTTTGAAGCTGAACATATATAATTGAGAATATTGACATTCAGTTTTTAACATCATTGAAAAGGTTAGAGATAGTGAAAGCGGAAGACTTGGTAGGCATGGCAAGATTTGGCCATGCAGGCGTAGTCACTCTATGTAACTCATTTCTTTTCGCAGAAAATATGTTACTCTTTCCCGGATCAAATGTGTTCTTCAGCTGCGACTAGTCACCTTCACTATAGGGTAAGTCGATATATACAATGATATGACTCCCACGTAAGGTCTGGTAGATTAGGTAATCACATCGTGGCAAACCTGAAGTTGCGGAATAGGTTTATTATGTTAGTAGCATAGATTGATGTACTAATACCGACATAGACCATGATTTCACATATTCATTTGTAAGGCAATATTCAGCTACTTGCTCTCTGCCGTTCGTGTCTTTTGACTGAACGATGCTATTAAACCACCAATAAGACGCTATAACGCCTGAATTATAACCCGGATCATTCTTCGAGTGTAAGATCCAGTTTGAAGGTGAAAATCCCTCCATGTGCAATTTCTTCTTAAAGGTTTCTTTATTTGTACATATTGTTAACTTTTTTGATGCCAATTGAGACTGTAACGTTTAATTTTATAATAGTTTTCTCAGTTTTTCTATCGCTTTCATTGTGTTTCTATGTCTCTTCTTGAACTGTATCTAATTTGTTTTAATTGATATTGTCCTGGCGGCTGCCATAATGACCGTTTAATCTTTGACCGTGTTGCTTGATTGGATTAGGATCGTGCATTTTGGTTGTTAATTGGAGCACTTTCCATAATTGGAAACACTCTATGTTATAAAGTAACATTTGGAATGCATTTTTTACTTGATCTATCCAGGAAGGATAGAATAACACTTATTTTTTGGAGCGTTCGATTGATTATTTTGGAAACAAATGTCTGTTGGATAACCGTGTGGTAATATTTGTTTAGAAGCGTTATTACCTCAATCAACTTGTTTTGATTTCGATTGGAGTGTGCGCATGTATTTACTTTTAATCTACAGTTATTCAGCAGCCAGACCTATTGGAATTTAGGTTTGAATTTTACATCGAGAACTATCAATCCATACACTCGTAACTAACGACGCGAATAACTAGGAAACAGAATACTAATTCTCGTGCCAAAGTGAAACCGAAAGGTCTAAGTTCAACATTGTAAAAAAAAGTCAGGTTCAAAGGTTTGGCGAATAGAATAGATCTTGAAATTAGCAAAAATAATGATATTTACAACAAGAGTTTATAGTCAGTTAAATACTTTCAGTTTTACTCGTAACATGGGCTACGTCATACAACTTCATTCCCAAGAATAGTTGCTAAGTGGGAAAGTTACGTAATTCGTGACCTTCTCCTTGAAAATTGTCTGCATTCCCCAATAAACAATAAACTTCTAACGTCCCTAACTAGGGAAATTCCTGTTCTTTACGTCCACTGCTCTTACCATGTGATCAGTCATTGAAGTTGTCTTGTTGAGAGGAGTATTACATTCTCGTTCAACCTAGCCCCCCTTCACTTATCCTGTACTTTAAGAGTATTCAAATACTTCCTGAACTGCATTTTCCAGAGTACTTCTGATGAGATAAAAAGTCTTTTTTCATCTTCTAGCGAAATAGCCTGAATAAAAGCTATCTACTCTGAATATTTTGTCACTGTTTTTTGACGTTAGGTTTATTAGGTGTCCGTAGTCCCAATAGAATAGTGATCTGCATCGCCGGCTGTAATCACCGATTCTCTCGGCTTCTCCTGCGAACATTTCAAATGCTCCTTCCGTTGGACACTGTCCTTTATTTATCTCATTCAATACTCACTTCGTAACTTTTGTTACCTTTCCTACAAGCCACCTAGTTGATTCACTCTCATTCTATGTTTCGACGTAGAATCTTATCGTGCATTCTCCTTTTGAACTCTTTCAAGTATTTTTTTAGATACAACCTACCAAATTTAACCCTTAATCGCTAAACATCATATTCAAGGTGCTCTTCCATCTTTAAGGAAGTCAACAAACTTCTTCATCTTTCGAAAGCTTCTTTCACATATATTGGCTGTGAAACATCCCAACAAGTCTACCGCTAAACGTGTTGCCTCTCTGTAAGTGACCCATGTGGATAATGGGTCTACTCTAGTTGGGTGGGAATACTGTGACCACTTCGCCGACGTCGAAGTCACACCTAAGAGTTGATATCTGACCTGAATTGCTGTCTTGATATCTGGAAACTGGGGCCGCTTAAGTGACTACATAGACCCAGCACAATCTTACTAATACAATGTGTTGCAGGAAAAGACTAGGGAATTCCGTCGTACAGCCGCCATTGCATATGTCAGTTTATTGAGCGCAACTGGGTAAATTAAGTTGGTCATCCTTCCCTTCATTGATGTTCAGTAAGCTTCTGAACGTTTAGTGACCTTTTGTTAAGCGAAGAAATGGTTCAGTCTCTCGGATGATTTAGTTAGGGCTCAGTGACATTACACTGGCCTTTCATGTTCAATAAAACCACAAGGTTCGGCACCAACGTCGAGCACTTACAACGCTCTTTATTTCAGAGAGCCATTTAATGCTCCGGGCCTGGCAAACGCAGCTGTATAAATCATGGAAAAAAATCAATAAAACACTTACTAAGCAGTGTGCAGCACGAAATTGAGAATGAGTTATCTTTAAAATTTTTTTTTAAAGATTTCAAGAGTTTCTAGACAACAGAAAACCTGTATATGATACCGCCATCGAATTCAAAGAAGCTTTCTACAAGTTCTCACACATTGAGCTTTGTCACCTTTCGGGGTCAAGGTTATCACCGTATGACCTTGCTGAAGTCAGTTGCCCGGGCTGCTAATCTCGTGTTGAACAGGTGGTTCAGTCGCTACACGATGGTACGTCATAGTGTCGACTCCTCTTCGTTTTTTCTCTCTTAATATTATCTCACCGACTCATTTTTAAGGAGGGAATGTACAAACACTGAACTAATTGTTGTGTAACAATCGTTAATTAATGATTGTTATTTATCTGGTTTCCAGTGTTGTAACTTACAATACTATTATTGCGTTCATGCCCTCAGTAAGTTATGAGTTAGGTCAATCCATTTCTCTTCCGCATCAGCCCTCAAGGGGTTCCGGGAATTGACTCAGCACTGTATTTGTGCGATAAGTAGACAATTCAGCGATATTTCAGACAACGACAAAAAGGGGAAGTTTTGCACCTTTTCCCATAACACGTTGGAAAGGAAACTTTTTGGCGCGTCTCCCCATTAACTCCCATTATTTTCTAACCAAATGTCCCCGTTATTGGTTGCTTGGGTGACTTACTAGGTTTCCAACGGTATTTCATTGGTTTGATTTTTTGGCTTTAAAATTATTCAACTTGTAGGGTTAAGCATAATATTTAGGTTGAAATGGTTCAAGTTCTGCACGGTTGAGATATTAAAACTAGTACAATCATAGTTGAGAACTTTGGTATTCCTCAGTTCTGAGACCTAGCTGGTTTAGTTAAAGAGCTTTCACAACGTTCTGGACATTTTCAACGTTCAACCCATGCATAAGTGATCTTTTTAGCTATTCTACAAGTGTTGCATTGGATCATTCCGATATTACTGCTGGTGATGGTTTGTCTTTGTATGTTTTGTCGTCTTCATTTGCCTTCGTATTCATGTTGACTGTTTTTGTTGATTAACCTCCGGTATCATGATTAATAGAGAGTTCCTTTTAGCGCCGACAGCTATCAGGTTATTATTTCTGGTTATTTGTTTAGTTTTGAATTTAAGTTGACATATATGTCTTACATTTACTGTTAGATATAAAGCAACTAAACTATGAGGCCCAGTGTAGGATTTCACAAAATGTATATTAGTTCTTTGTAGATGAATATCAGACATTAAACATGTTGGTAAGATAGTGCTCAGTATTCGATGAACTTTGGGTCATGTTCTCTGGGGATTTCGGAACCATTTTTGTTTGGCGGATGATTCTGTAATTTGATTTCGTTAAAATGCTCGACTGAAGCACCCTGTTTTATTTCATGACAGTGGTCCCACAGATACGCATGTTTGATCAAAAGAGTAAGCCTTCGGTTTTGAAATTGTTTGGGGTTTTAACCCTTCCTTAGAACTGCAGCAAACTAACGTACTTGCTTACGTCTGATACCCCTCATGGAGGAGCATAAGCCGCTAACCAGCATTCCTCACCCAACTTTGTCCTGGACAATCCTTCCGAGTTCTTTCCAGTTGTTATTTATCCTTCTCATGTCTACTTCCAGTTCTCAACAGTGTTTTTTTGCCTCCCTCTTTTTCGTTTCCCTCCGGGATTGGAAGTTAGGGCTTGCGTCGCGATGCAGTTCGGTGATTTCCGTCATGTATGTCCCATCCATTTTCAACGTCATTTTCTAATTTCATCCTCGTCTGAAACCTGGTTTGTTCTCTTCCACAGTAGGCTATCGCTGATGGTATCCGGCCAACGGATATTCGGTATCTTACGTCGACAATTGTTTAGAAACGCTTGTACCTTTTTGATGATTGTGGCGGTTCTCCAAGTTCCAGCTTCGCAAAGTAGGACTCTCTTGACGTTCGTATTGAAGATTCTGACTTTGATATTGATTGACAGTTGTTTTGCGTCCCATATGTTCCTCTGATGTGGGAATGCTACCCTTGCTTTGCCAATCTTTGCCTCTGCGTTTGCATCCCATCCTCCTTGTGTGTCGATGTCCAGGTGTGTGAAAGTTTCCAGCGTTTCTCCATCAAGTGCGATTGGATTGTTCTCCGTGTCTTACTTTAAGATCTTGCTTTTTCCCTTGTGTATGTTGAGGACTATCGATGCAGAGACTACTGCTGCACTGATTCTTCACTTGCATCTGTTAGTGTGTATAGGATAGAAGAGCTAGGTCATCTAGAAAGCCCAAATCGTCTAGTTGTGTCCAAGTTGTCCATTGTATTCTGTGCCTCTCTTGAGATGTAAAGATTTTCATAATCCAGTCAACCACCAGAAGAAAGAGAAAGGGAGAGAGTAAGTAGCCTTGTTTGACTCCGGTCCTTACTTGGAATGCGTCTATCAGCTGTCCTCCATGCACGACTTTGCACTGTAGTCCGTCGTATGAACTCTGTATGATGCTGACAATTTTCTCAGGTACTCCATAGTGTCGAAGAAGTTTCAATAATGTTCTCCTATCCACACTGTCAAATGCTTTCTCATAATCAAGGAAGTTGATGTATAGTGACAAGTTTCATTCAGTTGATTGTTCAACGATGACCCGTAGCGTTGCGATTTGGTCTGTGCACGACCGATCCTTACGGAATCCGGTCTGTTGACCTCGGAGTTCAGCGTCTACGGAGTCTTTCATCCAGTTTGGCAACACTGTTGAGAACCTTTCCGGGTATTGACAGTATTTTGGTACCTCTGCAGTTCCCACATTTGCTCAGACCTCCTTTCTTTGGTATCTTGATGAGGTATCCTTCTTTCCAGTCTGTCGGCACTTGTTCCTCTTCCCAACTCTTCCTGAACAAACTGTGAAGCATGTTTTCAGTTGATTTCATGTCTGACTTGCGAACTTCGGCTGGTATATTGTCATGTCCTGCTGCTTCCCCACTCTTAATTTGTCTGATAGCAATCTTGATTTCTTCGATCGTCGGTTTAGTGACATCTATGGGAAGGTCTGTAGGTGCTACCTCGATATCCGGTGGGTTCAATGGAGCTGGTTTATTCAAGAGCTCCTCGAAGTGTTCTGCTAGTCTTTTCATCTGTTCTTAAATCTTAGTGATTGGCTTGCCTTCTTTGTCCTTGAAAAATAACGTAGAAGTCTGGAAAAATAAGATCTGTACATTAGCACAAGTCATTTTTAAAGATACGTATCTGTTTGTACCTAAAAACCCCTTCTGCGACTTCAATGGTTTTTGCACAGCCACATGTTTCTAAAGTATACTTGGACGTACGAATGCAATACCTTGGGTGTTTTTAATATACCAAAATTCTAGCAAAGACAAATCAATATTTGTTACACTGCTAATCCAAAATGTCTCATAAAATATCCAAGAGGTCACATTTTGGAACATCTCAAAAGATTGGGATCTAATCAAGCATGGTGAGAGTTTCCACGAACACGGTTAATTACTAGCCGAATTTATACCTTTTGGTACTGTCACTGCTAGTCCATTCCTGTTACAGGTGTGACTGGGGTTGTTGCTTCATAGTTCTCTATACCATGGCAGGATACTTTTTGAGGCATCCAAAAGGGTAACGGAGTTGGTAGTGGTTTCGACAACTTGGAATTTCCGTCACAGTGCTCAAGGGGCGACTACTTGAGGCTGCTCACACATCCTTTCTTCGAATGGTTTTGTATGGGCTAGCTCTGCACTTTTGAGGCTTTACCGTCTGCAAATGAAAACCATGGGGCAAGATAAGGTGCAGTGTTTCTAGCTTCGACCCCTTTCTGTCATCGGAAGATGGTATTACTGGAAATGATTGTCTGAATGAAATAAATTTCTCCTGACATACTTCTATGCAGTCTTCAGTCGCCTTTGGACCACAAATTTACTCGTAGTCTCCGAATCAGTCGAAATAATCAAGATTCGGTTGCTAAGTTTCTGTCTTGCTAGAGTTGATCTGGTCTCTTCGTATTAGTATATAGCATAAATTCTTTTGTCTAGTATGTGCAGTTTAGTTGTTTTTATAGTTTAAATCTGTAGATTAAGCGTATTCCTATAATGCATATTTATTCACTTTTAGGCCAGTAATCACCAGTGTGGTTTAGCTGTAGCTCTAAACGAAAAGTCATTACCACCTCCCCCTGAATTTATTAAACATCGTGAAGAGTTATGGAACAAACTGAAAAGGGAATATGATGGTTTCGTTGCTTCACAACCACGTTCACCTGTTCAGATCACTTTACCAGATGGAACCATTGTGGATGGAAAAGCCTGGGAAACTACTCCAATGGAAGTGGCTAAAAATATTAGGTAATCTAATTCTTTAAAAGATCGTAATTTCCCCATTTTTTGATATTCATGCTCTAATTCAGTAGTTACTGATCTATTTGGTGCAAAGCCTATTATGTTATCTATGTGAACCTACTTGCATTCTACGGACTATAATGCATTGTCTCAAGAAGTAAACTTTCAAGTAATTAATCAGATTGGTACGAACTTCATTCTGTCTGATAAGACTCAGGCAATCAAACATTACAGCTGCTCACAGATTATAGGTGTGGTTTCCGTAAACTAGTATGTATGGTTCTGTACATAGTTGTTAATTATTCATCACTGCTATTTCGACAACTACATCTTTAGGCAAGTTGAAGTTCAGTGAAATGCGGTGTTTTACTTGAAATGGTACGTACCGCCATCACAATGTAAAGTCGGATTGATAAACCTACAATTAAGCTTCCACTACCAAACATCTGTTATATAGTTATTAAGCGTAAAGCAAACTACATTTATTGCATCTAAATGTTCAGATCTGAAAAAGTTAATATATTTCAATGGAATTATTTTTGATGTACTACCAGTGTAATGAACACTGACCACTAAATCGGGAAGCGATCACGAATTTATGTAAGCTTTTCAGATAATAGTGGATTATAAAATACATAGTGGGGTTAAGTAGGGATTCGGAGTTGACAATACTCTAAAAATTCCTTTAGCTTGTTATTCAGATGTTCTAAGAAACCGGTCAGCGAAATAGTCACTAACAACTAAAGATTTGTTTATCGATGGCTCCCAAATGCCCTGGTGCGGCCGGGAGTGGGGAAAGTCAGCTCTCCCTTTCGAAATGCTCTCATATGGCCACGCGTATATAGACTATGCCAGGGAAGTCCTACTCATTGCCTTCTCGTGGCGGGGGTGTTGTTTACGAAATTGAGCCCTCACACATATAAAATGAGATTTGTGCAGCGCATATATATCTGGTGCCCCCTTGTACCAAGATTTATGTGTTTAATTAAATTAAAAAAGCGATGACTCCAAGGGTCAGCAGGATGTGTCCCTTGTGAATGTAGGTGCTCAACATCCAAATGTAACTGTAACTTGTACTGATCCATCAACCTCGTATTTCATTAAAATCACGAACCGATCTAGATTAGACAACCGTTGAAAACCTAGTAGCATTTCCAGAGTTCTAGTAGGGAGTTGTGGCTGCTAATGCTGAACTTTCAGATATGAGAAAGGTACCTATCGAAGACAATGGTATTTGGTTGCGCAATATCGTTGATGACGGTCAATTCGTTGGCAACTGAAAATTGAGGTAAGATTGGCGCACATCAGGGCATGATCATAGTTCAGATAGGTAATCCGAAAGGAGCGGCAGTCTTGTACACAACCACGCCAGCGGTAGCCGACCGCAATGTGATCAATCTGAGTCCAGGCTTGAGATGCAGAGGGAGGACGCCAGGTGGCACATCGGTGATGACTGTGTCGGAAGTTAGTGCTAGCCAGAAACAGGTTGTGGTCTGTGTACAGTTGCAGTAGACGGTCCCCGTTATCTGTCCTGCGACCAACAAGTCCCCATCGACCACCTAAACGACTCTCTTCTGTGCCTAGACGGCCAACCTGTGCATTCAAGTCTCCGGCTAGTACTACAATATCTGTCGGACGTACTTTCTGGAGAACAGTTAATTGATGGTAAAATTCATCCTTGATTGCATCCGGGCTGCAATCTGTTGGAGTATAGGCGGAGATGGCAAAAATATATCGTTTCTCACGCCGATTTCTTCTCACTTTGATGGGGCTTTCTAATCTAACAGCACATAACCGACTGTTAATGGGGACCTACCGAAGACAATGGTATTTGGTTGCGCAATATCGTAAATCGACTGAGGTTATACCTGTAACCTATTGGATCCGGGTTCAGTAGTATAAAGATTAAGGATTCACGCGCGAGACTGAAAGCCTTTGGTTTCCTTCTCGAATACGGGGTCGTGGATGTGTACTTTTGAAGAGCCCCGTAATAGAACGAAACGGCCATTCAGTGCTTGCTTGTTTTCATTAGCTGTCTGTCTTAGATCGGTACATGGTTTAAATGCAATTCAGCTATCTTTACAACCCATACTGACAACTTTCAGCTTTACAAAAACTTCAGACCATAATATAACTGAATTTAATAGTCGGCTATCTTCATTTATATCCGTGGGTAGGAAAGCAGGACTCGAAGTTTAAGAAAGTGCCTATTAAGACAATAGCGTGGTATACTTCACCTTTTATAATTGATTTCAGCTGTCAACTTTCTAAGTCTTGATAGTCTCAGAAGAGTATTCCTGCCAGAAAAGTGCATTGTCGTGAATAAATCAGTTCTGAATATTAAAATTAAGTAACTGTCATTTATCATTTGTTTGTAGAAAGAGGCAGGTTTTTAAAAATTGTATGAAGTGAACTTGAGTTCTGGCTATCTCACCACTTAGTTTGAATCATGCAAATGCTTATTACACTACTTATGAAAACTCCATAAATTGTTACAAATGAGTAAACATTTGTACTTGATCGTCCTTCGATTCACCTGATTTAACTCTGTCTTTCAATCGTTCTCAATATCAACTGTTCTGTGGGTCTGTTTACAGCCATTACATTTGCAAGCGACTCGTCTCAAGACCTGAAGTTCGTGGGTTCGATTCTTAGGGTAGTCAACAGTGTACACTGCTCGGAAGTCCCACACTTGCATAAAACGGTTTCACATTTTTTACTGCTCAGTGTTTTTCTGTCTAAAGTTTTGGTCTTATATAAACTACAAATTTCAGGACTATTTTATTTGTTATACCCATGGAAGCACTATTCTCTGTAAGAGTCTTGTGAAAATACTTTGAGTAAAAATATTTTTTGTTTTCCTGTACTGCATTATAAAGTGATACATTATTATTTGTCTACATGTTGGGGATGTCAAATCCCCAGAACTTACTTGGTAAATGGCTTAATCTTGTAGTTTTATTTTGAAAATTTGAATTTAGCTGTTTTCGCGCCAAAAGCGCTCTTTTTACCTTCACGTCATATTTCCCACCTGTAAACTATCTTAACCGCTATTGGTCCTTTGTTTCTTTGTGTGTGCTATTTACCAATGATGCTCAAGGACAAATTGTTGTTGTATAAATGCGCTTGACTTATTCCATTATTCGATTGCTTGTACTCGGCTGCTTACGGAATACATATATATTCCCCTACTTGCCTTGGACTTCTTCATCTAGTTAGCGGGGCCTGGGACAACCGATTAGAATAGCTTATCGTGTCATTGTGGCATTGGCTTTCGTTCGTTACCGCGGAATCGATTTAGTTTCAGGCATAACACTACACTTATGGCTTATCAAGTTTTTCGATAGGTGAACCCCCTCAACGTAGTTGGACACTAACCATGGTATGCAAATGACCTACTAGGCAATTCAGTGAAAAAAGCATTAGGACTCATATTTTTCATTTCTTATCATCTCTAATGGTTGAACGACGCTTAATTATGATGCAAATTATAAACAGACACTTTGTAATTCGAATAGAATATACTCCGGAATGCGCATAATTGACATCGTGACGGAGTTATGTTTGGTGCGAATGGTTGATGAATAAAATGCTTAGTAATAAATTCATTCGAGTAATAGACTTTTTGTAGTATTTTTATTTAATCCATATAAAATCTGGTACAATCGTGCATCAGAAATAGTAAGCTCTATACAAATAATTGCGTGTAGGCTGGACTAACTAAGAAACAAAACAGAGCATGTTGGCTAAGTATAATATGACATTCGATTCATTTCACGGAATCAATGTTAATGATGGAAATGTTATACCGTTGCCAAAGTTCTTAAATTAGTCAAGATCGTTTTGATTCTTTAAGTAAGCTCTTGATATTAGTTTGAATTTTAACACTAGTGCGAAGATTTAAATCTCATTAATAAAATATATGTTACGTATGCATAACCACTGCCTACCTCTACGAGAGATGCTTGGCAGTGCAGTATTAGACTGGAAGAAAACTGATATAGAGAGCTAGTCGGAAGAAGCGTAACGAAAAGGTCAATCGATGGTAATCAGATGTCATCTAAAGGACAAGTGCATTTCATTGCCTAAGAAATGAGCTAAGTTCCTAAAGACAGAAGGGTATATATATGAATGAGTATTTGTACATTTAATTCGGTAGCTCAGTACACTTTCTCACTATTGTGTTCTCGCTCAAGTAGTCAGTTGGGCGGTTAACATGTAGTACATTGAGTATCAGTATCAGGTTTTAGAAACTGCCCGTCACAACAAAAACCTGGGGAAGTCGAACACAAACATGACATTAGTTCATCCAGTCACTGACTTCTGTTGGTCTGAGTCACATTGGTAAACGCACACTACCTGGTTGGCGTCCACGTAATAACTGTGATCAGTAGTTGGAGACTTCGTGTGACATTGTTCATAATCATTCACAATTACGTAAATGTATTGACTCATTATCCTTCTCTAAATTTCGAATTCCAATACTCCTTCTTCATCACATACTTTTCCACTCCGTCTTTTCAGAACATATTTCCAAGGTTTAGTAATTGTTTTTATCATTTCTACTACATTACTACGATCTGTTTTGTTTCTTTCATTTCATCTTGTTATAATGTGGTATGGGAACTTGGTTCGACGTACATTGTCTGTGACAGACTATGTTGATAATATCTAGCTGTTCTTACATTATTAGTTATAAATTTATTACGTTTTTAGTAAAACTTTGGCTGAACAAGCTGTAATCGCTAAAGTCAATGGAGAATTGTGGGATTTATTACGCCCCTTTGAAAAGAATTCTAGCCTCGAGATTTACAATTTTGATCACAAAGATGGTATGTTGTTTTCTGCTTAATTTTCCGGTAAAATTTCATGAGTTTTTCCATAGAACATTTTGTTAATTATTAGTCGGTATATTACGGTTGTCGCATAATGTATGCTTCATTTTAATGTTATTTTGTAATCACTTGGATTTTAATGCTGGTTTTAAAAAATACCATACTGATCTATATTTTTCGCAAAATCTGCGATTAGTTGGTATTGCTACTGAGAGTAACAAATACCTCTGGGTTGAATTCAAGAGATAGTATACAACATTCCTATCACTTGTTTCCTTATTTTCTGTCACCTCAATTCAGTAGTAATTTGGGACAGAATCTTTCTAGGATTTCATCTATTGTTCATATACTAAATTGACTCATTATCTACAAAATAATCGGCCTTAAAGTTTGGCAAATGTTAAGGCCTATTCTATGATCTCACAATGTTTATCCTGTTCAGCTCTAAATTTTGTACATTCATATCACGCTAAATTATGTCGTCTATAAGTGTGAAAATAATTGTCGAATCGTGACTTATCGGTTAAAGTCCTCAACTTTCATGGATTCATATCCTGTTCCATTTACATATTTGAAGAGTAAAGTAGGATAATTAGCTCATATTAAATGTGTGATTCTGGATATTGTGCATAAAACTGTATTGAATTGCTATTCTGCTATATTAGACTTAAAATTTAGTCACAATTGTTACTGATCATCATGAACATGAACTTATGGGTCTGGTTAGTATGTTTTGGGTACAAAAAATGATGAAATCAATTCTGGGTTCAAGGGAAATTTCCCATTCGATTTAAAATACTGATTTGATGTACCAGTTGTACTGTTTTGTAAATTTAAACCAACTATTCAATCTTAAAATTATCTAATGGCAGTCTTGAAGAATTTTACTGGAATCGTAAACTCTCAAAGTTTCTCATCACTGAGTGAACTTGATTAAAGAGCCATTAAAAATAATAAAAAAACACTGGATAACATCTGTTTCGTCTTAGCATGGGACTCTTCGACAATGTACGTCCAAGATCTTACCAATGATTAAACTTAGGACTTTTAGGACTTACATTAAGTGCTTAACCGCCATATCACTGAGTTAGTATCTACAGGTCTGAATGTCGTAGGTCCAACGGCTAGTTGAGTCGTGGATGCGTACTGTTAATGAGTCCTACGTTATTATGAATTAACTGTCCAGTGCTTCCTTGTTTGTAATTTTTGTCTAACTAAAGTCAGTCTGTACTATGAAATTTCAAATTCAACGATCTCTACAATATCTTACAACAACAGCGGTAATACTTAGTTTTTCAAATTTATTTGTTGTTTATTTTAAGGTCAATATGTATTTTGGCATTCATCTGCCCATGTTCTCGGTGAAGCCTTAGAACGTTGCTATAGTGGACATTTATGCTATGGACCACCTGTTGAAGAAGGATTTTATTATGATATGTGGGTCCCTAATCAGTAAGTTTACAAATACTTCTGTAAATCAGAAATTACTCACCTTGTGAATTTTGATTTTTTGTATGAGAAGATATCAAGAAGTGTTGAAGAAATGTTTGAGCATAAATTTATGTATTACTGTTGTGGTGTGAGCTACTGATATCGACATAAGTAGTATATATGGTGAGTAAGGAATAGAATATCTGACATCAGAAGATTGAGAAGATCAAGAAGAGAAGAACAGAAATAAAAAGCAATTTGTGTGGAAATCCAGGAACAATGAAGCCTGAGGCAATTGAAGAACATTTTGCAAATAGTGTATCATAGCATGGTTTTTGTGTTTTACCAAGTAACGTTGTAATTTGCGCTAAATATATAGTTGGTTGTCCTCACCTGTGTTCTCATTCACAACATTTGGTGTCGCTGCCTCGAAGGATGAAGATTCCATGGCCGAAGGAATTTGAGGACGGAGATGTGCTGAGCTTCCTGAAGGAGTTCGAAGCTGTGGCGGAGCTGGTGGGAGTGAGGGAGCCGGAGGCGAAGACGGTGGTGCTGGGGACGCTGCTGAGAGGCAGAGCGAAAGCTGTTTATGACAGCCTGGACGGTGCGGGCGTTAAGACGACATGGGAGGCAGTCACGGAGCGGTTGACCGTGGAGTTCGATAGCCCAGTGGACAGAGAAGAAGCACCGCAGAAGTTCCGAGTGGCGAAGTTGCCGATCGATGTTGATCCGCTGGTGCTGGCCGTTGAGCCTACCAAGTTGCTGCGTCGCGCGCTTCCAAATCTGGATGAGCAGTCGGAGGCACAGTTGTTGGCGTCTCAGTTTATCGAGAGCGTGCCTGTTGCCGTTTCCCAGCAGCTGAGATTGGTACACGCCGCGCAACCTATGGATATCAGTGAGCTTGCAAAGGTGGCGCGACAGTTGATGACACAAACAGTAGCTCCGGTCGCGTGCGGAAGTCAGGAGATAAGCAGCATTGAGAAGAAGATTGAAGAACTGCAGCACGAGATTGCGGCATTACGAGTGATTCGTAAAAGGAATGATGAGTGTTTCGCATGTTGAGGGACAGGACACTGGAAGATAAACTGTCCAACACGACGAAAACGGAGATATTTTAGACGTTACGTGTTTCCTTCTTACTCTAGGGATCTGGGGGTTGTTGCATTAGTAGATAGAGGGGCAGTCTATGCGAGAGTGAACGTAAATGAACTAGATTTAGTGTGCCTAATCGATACAGGGGCAGCAGTTTCGTTAATAGGTAAAGAGCAATGTAAAAGTTTTAAGCCGTGTAAAGTCGCAGTTCACACTATAGGAGGGCATATGTTAGAGGTATTGGGCGTGTCTAACAGTATCGTAAAAGTGGATGGTTCGGAGATAAGTTTTCCGTTCGTGGTAACCGCAAACCTGTCGAGACCAATATTAGGAGCAGATTTCCTAAGAGAAGTAAAAGCCATAGTTGACCTAAGAAGCGGTAAAGTGGTCACGAAGTACGGTTCATTCTCAATACATGAAAGTAGCGAGGTGACTGAGGTTAAAGTGTCAACAGCCGTTGTGATGAAGAAACCAAACATCACCGAGTTGTGCAAAAAGTATGCGAAACTGTTCACTGGAGAAGGAGAACCGTACGGATTTTGCGACAAAGTAAAGCACGAAATCCCGATAAAGAACAATGGAGGAAGTATATTCACAACACGTCGTGTCCCTGTGCACTTAGAGGCTGAAGTAAATCGACAGGTCCAATAGATGCTGAAAGAAGGAATAATTGAAGAGGCGGACAGCCCGTATAGCTCACCGGTACTCTTGGTAAAGAAACCGAATGGGAAATATAGATTTTGTGTTGATTTTAGAGAGCTGAATAATATAACAGAACTAAAGCCGTGTGCAATGCCAACAGTAGTGGAAACATTAGATCGGCTGCAGAATGCCACGGTGTTTACAGTGTTGGATTTGCGGTCAGGTTATTGGCAGCTGCCTATAAAAGAGAGCGATCGAAGCAAGACAGCATTTACCATACGTGATAAACAATATCAATTTAGACGAATGCCGTTTGGATTGGCGGGTGCACCATTTACGTTCAGAAGATTAATGTCGCTACTGCTCAGGGATCTAGATAACGTCGAAGTGTATGGCGACGATGTAGTCGTATACAGCCAGACAAAAACAGATCATGTCAAGCATGTGGAAGCGGTCCTAAAGCGAATTGAAGAATTCGGACTTCGAATTAATAAGGACAAGTCACAGATGGCGAAAAGTAGCATCCCGTTGTTGGGGCATAAAGTGGGAAATGGAGAAATAAAACCACTGCCGGAGAAAATTCTGACTATAAAGAACGTTGCAGTACCGAATTCGAAAAGGAAATTGAGACAGTTCCTGGGAAGGGCGGCGTTTTACAGTCGGTTCATCAAGAATTTCAGCGAAATAGCAGCACCCCTTTATAAGTTGTTGAGTAACACTAAATTTTCGTGGACTGAAACCGCCCAACAAACGTTTAGTCAAATCAAAAACATGCTGGACGACCGCCAGATGACGCTAAGACTGCCCGAACTGGAGAAACCGTTTACAGTGACAACAGACGCAAGTGACCATGGTATAGGTGCCGTTTTAAGTCAGTCTGATAGAGTGGTGGAATACGCAAGTCTCGTTCTCACGCCTGCGGAACAGAAGTATTCAACGATCAAAAAGGAGTGTTTAGCGATTGTGTGAACAGTAGACAAGTGGAGACCATATCTGTTAGGTAAACGATTTCACATTGAGACTGACCATAAACCTCTGCAGTGGCTACAAACAACACGAGACCCACGTGGGAAGTTGGCGCGATGGATGATACGTCTGCAGGAGCATGACTTCAGTATCGGGCATGTTCCAGGGAAGGAAAAATGTAATGGCGGACTATCTGTCAAGACCAGACATGGAAGCCGAGCTTCCATTGACAGCATGCGCAGTGAACAGTATAGAGAGAGACCCACTAGAACTCGTCCGGCAACAGAAATCTGATCCTAAACTTCGAGAGGTAATCAGAGTGATAAGAGAGGGGGCAGATTTTGACAAACGAGCAATGGACAAGGAGGCAATAATGTTGCTTCGGCAAAAGGAAAGACTGAAAGTGAACACATATGGAGCTCTGGTCTGGCAGGATGATGACAAAAATTGGGTGGCTGTGATCCCGAAGGACTGGCGGCGTAAGATGATACACGAATGCCATCAGGTAGCGCACACAGGTATCGCAAGAACGACAGATTTACTACGGCAAAGTGCATACTGACCAGGCATGAGAGACGATGTGACCCAATATGTGTTGACGTGCCAGCAGTGCCAATTAATGAAAAGCGATAGATACATGCAACCGCCATTGCAGTCAGTCCCAGTAACCGCAGTCGGTGATCTATGGTCGGTAGATGTGATGGGACCATTTCCACAGACGGATAGCGGCAACCGATACTTACTAGTAATGACGGAACATGCTACACGATGGGTCGACGCTGTACCGATTGCCGACCAGCGGGCGAAAACAGTGACCGAAGTAATAATCCGGCACATTGTAGCAGGTCATGGAGTACCGAAGATGATACTAACCGACCAGGGTCCCTGTTTTGAAAGTGACGAGTTTAAGGCCCGTTTAAAGCAGTTCGGCATCAAGAGGATACGAACTACCCCGTATCACCCTCAGACGAATGGGCTTACGGAAAGAAACAGCCGGACATTAAAGGAATGGTTAGCATCTAAAGGAGGGAATTGGGAGAAAGAGTTACCACTAATTTTGCTGGCACATCGTGCCTCCATCCAAGTAACAACCTAGAAATCACCTTTCCTACTTATGTATGGTAGACAGCCACGACTTCCGATGCATAATAAGACGTGGCCACAGCAGCAGAAGTGGACGGCAACAAGATTGAGGAAAGAGAGGACGGAGGCAATAAAGAACGTGAAAAAGAAACAAATATCAGACATCAAGAAGGCGGAACAGCAGAGAAGAGCATGGAAGCCTTTTAGAGTGGCGGACCTGGTAAAGTGTAGAGAACGGAGAGCTAACACTGAAGGGGGACTAGGGTCAGGAAAGCTGATCCCGAAATGGGAGGGACCGTACATTATCACGGAGAGACGCGGCCTAGTTTACACGATCCGGAGAGAAGACAAGCAGAAGCGTGTAAATGCCAGTCAACTACAGAGATGGTTTCAGGAACATCATGAGCACGAGTCACGAACAGCACCAAAGGAGACAATGGTACGGCGATCAGAAAGATTGCGAGAACAGCTTATTAAAAGGGGGGACGAGTATGGTGTGAGCTACTGATATCGACATAAGTAGTATATATGGTGAGTAAGGAATAGAATATCTGACATCAGAAGATTGAGAAGATCAAGAAGAGAAGAACAGAAATAAAAAGCAATTTGTGTGGAAATCCAGGAACAATGAAGCCTGAGGCAATTGAAGAACATTTTGCAAATAGTGTATCATAGCATGGTTTTTGTGTTTTACCAAGTAACGTTGTAATTTGCGCTAAATATATAGTTGGTTGTCCTCACCTGTGTTCTCATTCACAACACTGTGACTTAAATAAGTTGTTATTCGTAACAGGGTATCACAAGCATTTCTTTGGTAAAATCTAGTCTCCAGAATTGTATTGTACTTATTCCTAGTCATACTGTTACAAATAAACGGTATTCATTCTAGTCACCAATGATTCTCATAATTATTCATTATCAATATACCTTTTATGAAATTATTGCTAAAACAGTTTCGTATTACTTAATTATTTACCCTAAATCCATGAGTAGTACATCAACGGATTTGGATTACTTTTATATAGGTCCTGCTAATCATGGCCTCTTTCTCTCAAATCATCTTTCGACCTGAGGAATTTATTAATTAATTTACCTGAGCACTGACAATTAGTGATCCCCTAGTTTTGATTCTTTCTTATTTGAAGGTTTGTCAAGCATCTCTCGTTATGCTTTGCTTATTTATCTAATATATATACTAGTTTTAAGTACATAGTCTACGAAAGCGTTGACTTTGAAATTCGAACAACCACCATCAAGATTGATGTTTGATAAAACCCTATGAAACAACCCACTCATTGTTGAAATGGATTTGTCGACAATTATTCATTCAATGTCAAAAAACACAACAAGAAATGATTAAAAAACCTTAAAATAAGAAAGAACCAAAACTAGGGAGTCACTAATTGTCAGTGCTCAGGTATATTAATATTTATGTATGAACACATGCTTCTTACTTATTACATTCTCGAAATAAAAATATTCGAAAGTCCATACAATTTACGTTTTTGTTTCAATACTTCCTTCTAGACAACACTCTGGTCTTCGTCCAGAAGATCTCTCTATTGTGGAAAATGTGTGTCATAGTATTTGTAAAGAAAATCAACCGTTTGAACGTTTAGAAATGAAAAAAGAAGATTTATTGAAAATGTTTGCCTACAATGAATTCAAATGTCGGATAATTCGCGAAAAGATAGATACACCAACTACTACAGTTTATCGATGTGGTCCTCTTATCGATCTCTGCCGTGGACCACATGTTAGACATACCGGTTTGTTCTTATATTTTGAAAATAATCACCTCAGTTTTTGATTAATGAATATCGTGGAGAAACTATTCATCGTTTATTATGTATACATTTATATTACTTTAGATTTTTCTGCAGTATATTTGACACTGTAACTGTTATTACTGCGATAGGATTCACCAATGAGAATTCTACAGATTTCCATGTAGGTTAGCATTCTGACCTTCAACCAATTATGCTCTTTGACCTACCACGATGATTCTTAAGTTTGAGGCTGAGGTAATTTTAGCCCCCGTTGGTCTCTCGATATGTATGTCTTTTGTCTTTAATCTTCAGTCTGAAAAAGTGGATACAGAAGTAAAGCTTCTATCACGATATTCTGATCACCTAATTTATTTATCTCAAACCCCTTTTATCAAATCTCAACACACCCTGAAATCATACTTTACAAGCAATTATGCCGTAAGCGACAGAGAACGGATCAAAGGGTGTATAATTAATTAACGATAATTAAGGAATAGTAAAACATCTAACAATAGTTAGCAGGTAACATGGTGGTTGGAGGTGGTCAACAGGAAACCCTGGACCCGGGTTTCGTGCTACTTGGCACTCGTCAGCAAGGTGTACCTGTAATCTTGAGGGAACTGATGCTCCCTGGCGGATTCGATCCCGCGTCACTCAGCTTCACAGTCAGAGACGTTACCACTGAGCTATTCGGGCCGCGACCGACCTCCTGATCGATAGCATTCGATCAGCACTAAGGACCTGACACGCATGAGATTGATCACCACCCAGTGATCAATCAATTGTGATTAGATCTCAGTCCTACAGGAGGTCGGTCGCGGCCCGAATAGCTCAGTGGTAACGTCTCTGACTGTGAAGCTGAGTGACGCGGGATCGAATCCGCCAGGGAGCATCAGTTCCCTCAAGATTACAGGTACACCTTGCTGACGAGTGCCAAGTAGCACGAAACCCGGGTCCAGGGTTTCCTGTTGACCACCTCCAACCACCATGTTACCCTAATATATATAGTGCCCGCAGTGTCGAGCCACCTAGACTGGTGGCCACATTGCAACTTGATCGATAGCATTCGATCAGCACTAAGGACCTGACACGCATGAGATTGATCACCACCCAGTGATCAATCAATTGTGAATAGTTAGCAGGTCCACTGAAATATAAGAATATAATAATCTAATGTAACGGATTTTTATGTTGGTTTGTTCCACCATCTCAAATGTAACGGATTGTCTAAATTTATATCTCTCTCTTACAATTCCATAATACATTAATACAATAATAAGACTAATTACGTTATATCAGAACCAGGATTCATAACCCAGAATCGTGAACCAGATTGACACTTGATAATACCTAATGCAACGCAATTACAAGCAGTCACACTCAGTGAGTTCGGAGTAAAAATGAATGACAGGAAGTGAAATCACATGTTTAGTAGTCAGTAGGCTAATTGGCTGTTTGTCCATGCTCAGTGACCAATCATGTTTCACTTTCACTACCGCATATCAATCCAATTATCTAAGAATTTTACTATGGATGGGTATAAACATCTAGTTCGGCAGAAATGAAGAGAAATAGACGTGGATTAAAGTGACAGTTATAAACGACTACTCGATGAATAATAGATGACTTATAGGTATCATTACCAAGACTTGATTTGATAATTTTGAATAAATTGAGCATTGGGTAGATTGTTATAAATAAATTATATATTTGTAATATCCCAATGAGTAGAAAAATTAGATTTTCTACTCATTGGGATATTACAAATATATAATTTATTTATAATAGATGACTTAGTTTATACATGTGATTTTGCAAATTTTCACAGTTCGAATTACGAACTGGTCTTAGCTAGATCATCATTGAAAACTTGGAAGTACTGGATGTGGGTTTCGTCCATTTCGTCCTAAGCACTGCGCATCCACGACTCCGCATCCTGGAATGGAAACCAGTATCTTCGGTTTTGCACTCAAACGTTTAACTTCTGCATCCAACGGTTTTAATGTCTAATTTCAATCAATTCAAAGTATTGAACAACCCTCACCCATAAACTGTGGTGGATAACCTTCTCATATCCGACACGGTTGAACTTCTTTGATCACGACTTCTCACTAGAACTTCATGAGTTTCATATTGCAACGAAACACCTATCCAATGATTTCAGGTTTTTGACAAGTTTGTTAAATAAACGTTCCTTCCTATTTCCTAGCCGCTTCTAATAACCTCAGGATAAATCTGCACGGCAACTTGAATACAAGAGAAAAGATGTGACGTACAAAAGGGACGCTTTGCTTCAAACTTATTTTGTTCACAGGGAAACGAGGGTATTCATAGAGTTACACACGACCTTGGGCTTCTAGAAAGTTTTGGGGTCATATTAAATATAGTAGCAGTATAGGTAAGTATTCCATCATAAACGTAACTCGTGACTCCTCACTTTCTAGATGTTTCTAAGATGCTTCTACTAAACTCTGATTGGATCAAGTGTTTCTAAGTGTTTTCTGGGCCCTTATGGACTTTTCTGGGTAATATTTTAAAATTGCGTAACAGTTTCCAATGGTGGTCTAAGTAAAATCATTTAATGATTTAATCTATGAACATTCTACAATTCCAACAAATCCCTGTATACAAATTACATTTATATTTTATGCAATCATAAATTATCTATTGGTCTTTCTAGGTTGCATAAAGGCTCTATCAGTCACTAAATGTAGTTCCTCTTATTGGGAAGGTCGTACGGATGCGGAAACTTTACAACGTGTCTATGGTGTTTCATTTCCAGATCCAAAACGTTTGAAAGAATGGAAACACATTCAAGTAAATTGATAATAATCTAAATTAATTTTGTTTTTATAGTAAACTTTCAGTTAAAGTAATCTGTTAATGAATTTTATGTGTACGTATGTACATTATTTGAATTAAGGAACATAAATTGCAGGAAATTTTCGCTTTTCATATAGACTTTATGCATTCCGTAAGCTTATATTTTTTACAGCTTACTTATATTCAAATTATGTGATGAGACTTTCAAAAATTATAAATTATTAGATACATTTGTGTTGTTCCTGTTTTGAATCGCTAAATGTCATTTTTCCTCTCTTTTACAATGGCTTTTCACACGTAGAATGTTTACTTTTGTCTTTCACTGAATGGTGTATATATTTACACTCGATTATGTTTGTTGTAATGATGATACTACTACTAGTAAAACTTTTATCAAAAGGGAGTTTTGTGGAAGTTTTAGTAAATTAATAGTTGAATTCATGAATCAATTAATGCTAGACCACTATGGAAAACCTGGAAGCATTGGACGGCCGTTTCGTCCTAGTACGGGACTCCTCAACAGTTCCCATCCATAATCCCGCTCGTGAGATTCGAACCTAGGACTTATCGGTTTCGCACGCGAACGCTTAACATCAGTGGAGTTCAACCGGGTCTGTTATGAGATAGTAGCTCACTTAAGACAATGGTGGATGGTGGCGCAATTTCATGGATTGGTTGAAGTCAGACATCAACACCGTAAAATGCCAACTCTGGTCTAGAGGTTAAGCGGTCGCACGAAAGACCTTTAGGTCCTCCGTTTGAATCCTGCGTGCGGGATCGTGGATTGGGACTGTTGAGGAGTCCCGTACTAGGACGAAACGGCCGTCCATTGCTTCCAAGTTTTCCATAGTGGTCTAGCTTTAACTGACTCATGAATTCAAATATTAAAACTTTCCTTATATGATGTTAAATCAACCCAAATGATTGTAATAATTCATGTGTATCCAGATATCGTAAAGTAAAAAATCAGGGTACGATGGATAGACAGTTAGATATTATCAACATAGTCTGTCACAGATAATGTACCTCGAACCAAGTCCCCATACCACATTAGAACAAGATGAAATGAGAGAAACCAAACAGATCGTAGTAATGTAGTAGAAATAATAAAAATAATTACTCACTCAGACCAACAGAAGTCAGTGACTGAATGAACTAACGTCATGTTTGTGCTTGACTTCCTCTAATTTTCTTCCAATCTACTTCTGCACTCAGTTCCCTTTATGAATTAAAATAAAGCCAGAACGAACATGGATGCCTAATAATACGAATTCATTATATTTCGTAGTTTCTCATCAGCTGCTTACAACCAAATATGTGTTAAAATTTACATTGAGGTTAGATATGGTGTGAAACAATTGACATAAGTGAATTAAAATAATTAGGATGTTAATGGTTATCAATAATAACTATATATGTGTGTGCAAGAACAGGTCAGAGATCATTTGGTGCTAGGATGAAATCACATGAAGGGGTGGGTGATGTAATAACTGAACGGGATTTGAAGGATTCACATAATTTAGGGGAATTGAGTTAGTGGAAATGTGTGAGTGAAGGGCTGCTTTAAATGTTTGTAAAATAAGAATTTGTTAATAGGAGAGCAATATAACAAATAAAACACTAACAAAATAACGACCGAAAATTGGTTTGCATCATTAAGTAATGGTGTGTGCTACTGATGTCGACAGACATAAGAACGATTGGTGTGGAGTCGAAGGAACAATGAATTCTGATACGATTGATTGACATTTTGCAAATTAAGTATGTACTGTAGAGTTCTCAGATTTTGCTAAGTTATTCTGTAATTTTGTGTTCCTATACATTCGATTGTCTTCACTTGTGTCCACGTTCACTACAATGTGACACAAATAATTCATGGTTGTTCTTAGCCATTATAAAATAATAATCATTCCGAATAACTATTTTATGCCCTGGTACGGTCAAGTGTGGGGAGAGTCCGCTCTTCCTCTCGAAATGCTCTCACATGGCCACGCGTATATAACCTCTGCCAGGGAAGTCCTACTCACTGCCTTCTCGTGATGGGGGTGTGATTAACGAAATTAAGAGGACGAAAAGCGAATGTCCGGTGCTTTAACCGGGTTGATAAATACTGAGGATCCACCTAGGGGAGTTGGAAAACCCTGATTCGGAATCAACGGTGCACATGGGCTCCAGTATCCTGAAGGAACAAATGACGTATGAACCAATTGTTGGTCACCGGCTACCATGGGACTTCATCTCCTCACGATGCTCCACTGCCTTGTGGATCAGACTTTCAGGTCAAAGGCTCGGGGTGTGGCCCCTTAAGAAAACCACCTGCTTCAGTTTGGGCACCTGGACAGTATCACAGCCCTCACACAAATGAGATGAGATTTGTGAGGGGCATATTTATCTGGTGCACCTTTGTACCAATATTTATGTGCTTAAATAAATAGTTGAAGTGGCTTAAATTTTAAGTTCTTCTTACTACCGAAGATTTTTTTATTCTGAGTGAACTATTCCATTCAATATATAGTTTTTTATATATCAGATTAAAAGTAGAAAACTACACATAACTGACTTTTTGAAAACTATTGATCGCATTCTAGACCGTTAATTCAATAGTCTAGTCTGTTAAATGCTCATTATTTAATAACTATTAGTTAGCTTTTTTCATTGTTCACTCAATATACTGATAAGTCAAATTGTTATGGTCATAAACTTTTGTCGACTTAGGTAGTTAAGACATGCGTTATGCATATCTAACTAGCATCTACACTAACGTGCAGAGATGGCTGTCGTAAGATTAGGTTAAAGAAAAAATAGGAATGACAAAACTAAACTGTGTCCTCAGTACATGCAAGGATTAACTATTAGACTGAGTTAGATCAATAAGTACAGACTTCCTAGTTGAAATTTTCTGTATAATATATAGTCCATAATTCGTCGATTGATTGGAGTTGTTGACTAACAAATTTTAAAATCTACTGGTAGGGCAGATACTCTCTCTCAACATTGTGCAAAGTGTCATTCTATATTTTAGATTCTTTGATATCATTTGTTTATTTTGAACCACATTTCATATGTCTAACATTACGTTACAATTAATATTATCTTGTCTTTCTTCTCCCTGTTCCTTCTTGGGTTAGTTTTCTTTATCTCTGTGCTGATGTGAGATGTAGTACTTACTGCGGGTTGAACCTGTACACATTCGTACCTAGTCTTACGTTATCAGTTATTATAGTAATAATTGAAGTTTTAGACTATATTTTCTGTGATTATTCTTTTGTTTACATTAGGAAGAAGCAGCTAAACGTGATCATCGTAAACTTGGAGTTGAACAAAAATTGTTTTTCTTTCATGAATTATCTCCTGGTAGTTGTTTTTTCTTGCCTGCTGGTGCACATATCTATAATACATTAGTTTCATTTATTCGTTCTGAATATTGGAAACGCGGTTTTCAAGAAGTAATCACTCCAAATATTTATAATTCTGCATTATGGGAACAAAGTGGACATTGGCAACATTATAGTGTAAGTTTTTCATTGTTGTGTTTTGTTTATTTATATCAGTAGGGGTTTTTGTGGAGATTTAGTATTTTCATAGTTGAAAGCGTGAGTCAATTGAAGCTAGATTACCAGAGAAAACCTGGAAGCACTGGACGGCCGTTTCGTCCTATTGTGTGACTCTTCAGCATGAGATGTCGGCTCAATGGTCTATCGGTTAAGTGCTCTGCCGCGAGACTTGTAGGTCCTGAGTTCGAATCCCACGAGGCGAGGTCGTGGATGCACACTGCTGAGGAGTTCCACAATAGGACGAAACGGCCGTCTAGTGCTTCCAGGTTTTCCCTGTTGGTCTAGCTTCAATTGACTCGCGCTTTCATCTATATCAGTGTACATTTTTTGTATAATGTTATTTATATAGTTCAATTTTTTTCTTAGAAGAATGCACTCATTTTCGAACCAAGAAAATCATTACTATTCCATTTATTTTAATCTTTAGGAACATTTATTTAAAATTGATGTTGAGAAGCAAACATTTGGTTTAAAACCTATGAATTGTCCAGGTCATTGTTTAATGTACGCTAAAGAGATTCGTTCACATAAAGAATTACCATTGCGTTTTGCTGATTTTGGTGTATTACACAGAAATGAATTCTCAGGTGCTTTGTCTGGTCTTACTCGTGTTCGTCGTTTTCAACAGGATGATGCGCATATATTTTGTCGTGAAGATCAGGTAACGAATTCTTTTGAAATTGTTCATATTATTTATGTGTAAAGACAATATTTAAACTCATTTGCTGTACTCAGATTCATGTATTTGGCTTTGAGCCATGTAATAACTATGAGGTTAATTGGTACTATCCAGTTTTATAAACTGGAGCTAGGAGAGCGGGTTTCGAACCAGGGAATTAATAGCTGAAAGTTGAATAACGCCTTCTGACAACTGAACTACCACTTCACTTACCTATGAACTACGTTTACAAATACCTGTTTCTTGCTTTGAAAACGGTGTTATGATAATATTATCCAGTAAGACATAGATTCTATCATATCTGAAACTCATCAGCAAGTATTAATTTTTTTATTCTAGATAATATTTAATGTTATGATAAAAATATGTACATTAAGACTGCATTTTACAATTTGTTTTATTTGTTTTGCTGAGGAGAATGCTACGTTAGGACTAATGCTTTCTCGTTTTAGACTAAGGTACTTCAGTGTTATATTGTTTTGTAAATCGTTAGACATAACTGATTTTCATGCAGTTGGTTTGCGCTCAGTACTAAAGGTCCTTGGATCGGTTTCAAAGTTCTGGGTCGTGGATGCGCACTGCTGATTAGTTTCATACTGGAACAAAACGCCCATCTGGTGCTTTTAGGTTTTCAATAGTTGTCTAGGTAAGACCAGTTCGTGATTCTAAAACTATAGAGATTTAAACGAATTGGTGATAATAATAGCAATGACTATTTCTCCCACTTTTTTTCAATTTTTTTTCAAGATTAAAGATGAAATCAAGAGTTGTTTAGATTTTTTGCGTTATGTGTATGGTGTATTTGGTTTCTCATTTGAATTGTACTTATCCACTCGTCCAGAAAAATACATGGGTGAAATCGAAATGTGGGATCGTGCTGAAAAGGTATTGTTTTCCAGCGTTTTATATCCTTTGTATACAATATAAGTTAATTTTCCAACGATTTCATTATAATGAAAGAAGAGGGCTTTAAGACAAATGATTTGTGTGTTGCATTACGTCTTTGTTTCTTTATGATTCATAACTTGATTTAAATGTCTGAATTCTTCTAGATTGCTGAACAGTTATATCTAACTGTTATACGCGTTAGTCAGTTAGTCAGCCAGTCATAAACCACACAGAACCCGGCACACATGTTCATCAGTTCACGTTGTCATACCACATTATAACAGTGAGATAAAATTATTTCAAGACAAATTCCAGAGTAGTGAAAGAAGTAGCAGCATCAGTAGTAGTAGAAAAGTTTATTTATAAAAAATATAACAGAATAGTAAAAGTCTTTAGGACTCAGATTCTAAAGAAAGACAAGGAGTGAATTCATCTGTGTCAACCAGGTAGTCAACACCTATTAGTATGGCTCAGTGCAATTGACAATGTACTGGTGCCACGTTTTTGTTTTGATGCTCCTAGCATTCTTTCAGCCTACTCCTACACCAACTAGCACCACGCGTTAGTAATTTTTGTTGGAATTATCAGGAAGAAGCAACACGCATCACTATGAATTTTATAGATTCACACTATCGAGTTGATTGTGTACAAATAAAAGTTCAGTATTTTATCGACTGCCTTCAAAATTCGTTATCTAAAAACTCATACACGTAGGCCCCCGAATGCCCTAGTACGGCTGAGAGTGGGGAGAGTCCGCTCTCCCTCGAAATGCTTTCACATGGCCACGTTCATACAACCACTACCAGGCGGGGGTGTTATTTACGAAATTGAGAGGACGAAAAGCGAATCTCCGGCACTTTAACCAGGTTGGTGAACACGGAGGGTTCACCTAGTGGAGATAAGAAACCCAGATTCCAAACCAATAATGTACGTGGGCTCCAGTATCCTAAGGGAACAAATGGCGTATGAACCAATTATTGGTCACCGGCTACCATGGGACTGCATCTTCTGACGTTGCTCCACTGCCCTATGGATTAGACCTTTAGGTCAAAGGCTCCGGGCGTGGTTCCCCCAAAACTACCTGCTTCGGTTTGGGCAACCGGGCAGCATTCTGGCCCTTACACAAATCAAATGATTTATGTGGCGCATATCTATTTGGCGCCTCCTTGTACCAATGTTTATGTGTTTAAATAAATAAATAAACATATACCTGTATGTGAGTGATTTTTCCTAGTTGCTAGTTTTCCTTCCCAATTAGATAAAACCTATTTTCCAACATTTTTGATATTGTCAATATGAATTTCAATAAGTCAAGTTGGATAGCTGCTACAAATTGAATGCAGGACACACGTTTCATCGCATCCGGGACTCATCATCAGGATGTAAATTTCATATCCAAGTGTTGATATTCACTGAAGGACTCAAACCTAATATATTTCGATTTAAACATGAACGCATTACCTATCCACTTGCTCACTGAGTCCAGATAGCTGCTGGCTTTGTACAACAAGAATGAATTACCACTCAGTAGTAAGGGTTTGGATCTTCTGGTTATTGGAGTCAGTAGTTGAATGGATACCGCGTTGGCGTCTAAGGTGAAAGGCACTGGGTTTGAGTCCTGGGTCGAACAGCAATACTTGGACCCAGGTACTTCCAGCTGACGAGTCCCGACTAGGATAAATTACGCTTCCTGAATTTCACTGCTAACTACTGTCCATTTGTGCTTAAAATGTTTGTGACTTAATGAAAATATCAAGGTAATCCACATAACATACGCATATGCCAAGAGTCGGACCAGTTGCAGTTCTTAACACTAATAACCAGGAGATTCAAACCCTTAAAACTGAATTATAAAGTATATATTTCTTTAGTCCATTTACTAGTTCTTTTTTGTTTACTTGCTTGTGTAACTACGTTAGCAACTAAAAGAAAGTTTAGATGAAGTCGGTCTGAAATGGGAACTTAATCCTGGTGATGGTGCATTCTATGGACCTAAAATCGACATAAACATAATGGATGCTTTACGTCGTCGACATCAATGTGCAACAATACAATTAGATTTCCAATTACCAGTCAGATTTAATCTCTCTTATGCCAGGTATGCTTTATTTATTTTCAAATCAATGATGAATCAGTCTTTCTCATCATGAATTAAGTTTTAGTAACTATTTGTATGTCGATACAGTTAGTGATTTTATTGTATTATTCAGTCACTTAGTCATTCGGCAACATAGAACCCGGTACATATATGCAACAGTTCAAATAATCACATCATATTAGCTACAATTGTTATGCATATATCAAATATCCAAAGATGATAGTGTAAATTTGACGTTTCTTTTAAGTCAAATATAAGAATGGAGATCATAAAAGAACTAATATATCTAGCTACAATTCTGCTTGTTATTATCAGTCGGAATTAGGTTTACGAAAGATACATGTATCATAGAAATGAACGATGAAGAATAATTGTTAATGACATAAGTTCTATACGTAGCTGGAGTCTTTGCATTTTTGGTAAGTATAAATGTCTACATTTTATGGGACTAATAAGTTTTCTTAAATGAACGCTCTAATCAGTTTCTTTACCGCTTCCGATAACCACAAGGTAAGTCCACACGGTGACTTGAGCTACTCATATTAGTGTTGTAACGAAAATAACAAACAGAATCATATGTCTGGCTGTAATTTGCATAGTTGAATTCTTCGATAATCTAATTTACTAGTTGTGTAAGAGTTAGCTGCAGGTAGCCTATTCGTTTCTGTCTATTGTATATACATATTTGCTCATATTATAACTAAATAACTTTTCATCTCTACATATCGTTTTTTCTTTATCAGCGAAACTGATAATCCTTCTGGGAGTGATAATAATTGTAATAATGTATCAAATACCACAAATGGTATATCTAACCATCACGAACCAATCAATCATCAGACTGACTTAAACACTCACCGACCTGTCATTATTCATAGAGCTATCTTGGGTTCAGTCGAGCGAATTATAGCGATTCTCACAGAATCTTATGGAGGTAATGTTTATATAAACTATATATATATATATATATATATATATATATATATATATATATATATGTGAAGTCGAAGGACTAGTTTTCAGTTCATTACAGGTTATCTTTTATTTTATAGCTCTTCGCTAGGTTACACTTTCTCAATCGACAGTTCGTCAAAAAACTCACCAATCGAAATTCGGAATGCGCGAATCCTAGTTCGCCTATCGACTTACTACTCAATTTAACCATCGCGACACTTAGGTTAGCATGACTGACCTTCAGAATCGACAAAATAATCTCGATCTTCACTGGTCCACCGATATGAACATATACCTTTTTACTATCCTTAGTCTTCAGTCCGATAATAGAACTCCGAAAACAGGTAGTGCAGTAGTACATCTTTTATGAATCAACGCATACAATAATATGGATTAATTTTCTGGGTCACACATCAATTTGACTATGAAATCAAAGAGTAAGCATAACTACGCCAGAAGGGCAAGAAGATGGAGGAAAATCATGTATGTTTGATTAGCCATAATTAAAGAATAATAAAATGTGTACAGTAGTAGTTTATAGATCCACTGTAAGCTTACAATAAGCAGAATACAGGCGCATAATAGTTTAATTCTCTAATGATTATACAGTAAAAATCTAAATGATAAATATGTATTAGTTGTTTGGATCCTCCTATTAATGTTTAGAACTATAATTGATCAGTCTCTTTTGGCATATGTGGATCCTATGCCGATTGTTTCAATATTGCCATTAAGTCACAAGCATTGTAAGCAGGGACGGATAATGGCTAGCAGTGGAATCGAGGAAGCGGGTTTTATCCTGTTCGGGACTCCTCAGCTGAGTATGCCTATATCCTAGTAACCCGTTAAATTAGTCCAAAAAGTTACACTTTCCGTAAACTTCCATCCGTTCAAATATTGTATGTGTATGAATCATATCAGAGGGAACAACAGGATATTCTGTTATACTTTATTGTATATATCATTCACCTATATTCTATTCATTTGGCATATTTTTTCTCTTGTATTGTCACAGGAAAATGGCCATTTTGGCTTAGTCCCCGTCAAGTTTTAATAGTTCCTGTTGTTTCAGCATGTGATGAATACGCGATAGATGTAAAAAATCGTTTACATGATGCTGGCTTTATGGTTTCCGTTGACACAGATCCTGGTCGTACTTTAAATAAAAAAATTAGAAATGGACAGTTGCTTCAAAATAATTTTATTCTAGGTAAGTACTACTCAGTTTTTGATCAGTGTATATTTCTTTCTTGTAAAGAGTAAAGTCTTGTGCATGACGAAAAGGACCCATTATTTCATTGAAGAAGGACATATAAAGAAAGCGCAGTCAAGATTTTATTTTCGACGATTTAATTTACTTGTGCTGTGAATTTAAGTCCGTTTTTTATCACGTGATTTATTCACCAATCGAATACGACTTATCCAATCTAGTACTGTGCTAAACCAATGACGTTCGACCGGTATGAGCAGCCTAGCGTCCTTATTGGTCCTCTGTTCACCTAGCCCGTGTAGTTGATTACAGAACACCAATAACAGCTTCCATTAGGCGAATCGTTTATTTCAGACATACTGGGTTTATATATCAACCAAACAGACCGTAACGCACCTTAAAATGGGAAATAACATTTATACACAATAAAGCCAAAAAGTGGCTGTGAACGTGGGAGACAGTGATTAATAAACTGAATATAATTTAGGAACAGTAAATCGTATAATAATAATCTACAGTTCAAAATGAACCTTATAATTAGATGAATATAGATACATACAATCTAATTACTGAATAGTTATTTATAGAATAATAGTCCATTAATAGATCCCAGAAGTTACCCGTACTTTCTTCTTCACTAGGATATAAGAACTTAAACTGTACAATCGTATTTATTCATTAAGAATAGTAGTGTACGGTAAAATAGAGTGGTGTTGAATAGTTTTTAGAAAAAACTTGAAATGGTATATCTTCGTGTGTGGACAACTGTGGCCACGCATTCTACTGGTAAAATGTAGAAATCTTGAATAAGGGGAACACTAAAAACAAACGAAATTGTCGAAAAGAAAATTTTTCTGTCTTATATACTTCTTCACAGTTTTGTATACTGGGATTTGGATAGGATATTCCCTTTTTTTCTCTTTGCAACACTAGTATCACTAATCAAAATGTTACCTTCCTTTTATTGTTGAGTCTTTAGGGGTTCTGTGTTCTGTGAGTTAAATGATGGTTTGATTGTGAAGGTTTTTTATTGCCCTTCTGAAAGTTTGTTTTAGCATCTACTTTGTCGTGTAGAAGTTTTCTTTAAAAGAAGTAGCACCATAAAATAGGAAGTGTTAAAGTAAATGACACAGAAGTATGAAAAGTTTGTATTTTGATTATCCTTTCCTGGTAGTAGTAAATGATCAATGTTTATCATAACATGTATGAAACATATAGTTAAATATCGTTTTCTGTCTTCTACATCTTTCATCATTTTTTTTAAGAAATTAGAGATATTAATATAACATTGAATTCTCTTTGTAAAATGCTCCGTTTCAAATTTGCACACTTGTGTGCGTGTGTGATGTATGTCCATTAGTTCAATCAAATTGATCAGTTTATTTCCCTAGAAATCAGTGCCTAAATCTCATCTGGAATTCGTATTCAGTTCCTTAACAAGAAAACTGCACTTCAAGGATATTTTTGTTGTTAACGTGATTGAAGGTAGTTGAAAACAAGCCCTGAACCTATGTTCTGTTCTGTTTTATACTCGTCAGGAAGATGTACTAACTCTCCCTCGTTGATTAGAAATTATGCTAGTCAGTTTCCAGGCTTCTCTGTTTAGTAACTCCATCCAAATTCGCATCTCAACACCGTGCACACAATGTTAAATCTCTTAGACTAGTGACCGCATTTCAACTTGTTAAGCTATAGGATTTGATCAGCACTAAGAATGACTGGACACATATGACATCGGTCACTTCTGATCAGTGATCAAGTACGTGTAAACATTTAATCTTATAATTTATCAAGTGAGACTATAATTTATGGGCGATCTTTAAGTGATATTAGGATGACCTTAAGAGACCACTTACTGGGGTCTAAATGAAGTCTTAAATCAACTTGTGAGGAATTAGGACTTGAAGTTTGAGTCAGAACACAGGGTTACGAATCAGAGCTATGGTGCCTGTCACGAGCTAATATAAGCTATAATACTAAAATGATATTTACCCATATGGATTAATGGATTTCGCGCCAAAATCCATGACTCATTATCTTATATCTGATTGGTTCGTACATAAATGATATTTCTGGCCTTTGTCGTTTTACAATGTGTTAAATTCATTTGAATATTTAAATGATTTGACAGTTCTTTTTATTCGTTTATTCATTTTGCTATGATTTATTTTCATTTTTTCTCTTGATAATAGTGGTTGGTGAAAAAGAAATTACTAATGGAACTGTCAATGTTCGTACACGGGATAACAAAGTTCATGGCGAGCATCCTGTTGAACATGTTATTGAACGTTTTCGTCAGTTGGCGGCATCAAGAACACTGGAAGCAGAACAGGAATTTTAATGAAATATACAAGTTACTATTCTAATTTCATTGTAAATGAAAATTGGCATTGTCACTTCTAATATAAGTGTATAATATGGACTTTTTTATTTATTTTCTCCTACCTCTGTGTTTCAAGGTTAAAGCTGTGTAATATTCTCTTTGGCTTGCTGCGATTCGAGAAAGAGAGGAGAGGGAGTGTGAAATAATTACATGATACATTCATTTAATCACAATTTTGTATTTCAAAGTGTGTAGAATTGGAAACGTTATGACAGTATCTTGTATTATACACGAATGAGTTTGTATTTCAGAATAAGGATTTTTAAGGTGTAGTTGTGTATTTCGGGCTGGATAGTTTAGTCGTGAAACCTCCATCCATATTGATCCAATGCTCAATTACAATAAAGTCAACCCAACGGCTCTGTTGTATTACCACGACTCAAAGTGCTACGTTTGAAGTGGTTACGAAATCAGGTAAAACCGGCGAATGGAACAAAAGTCAGCAACACAACAAGACAAACTAAGCTATTCCAATGCGCCCCAGTCCTGTTCAGTCGAGGGAGAAAAGGAGCTCCAGCCTGGAAAATATATATTCGACAAGCAGCTGTAAGCATGAACGAATTAGCACGCAACCCAAGCGTATATACACAATACAGAAACATCCTTGGCAAACGTCACAAAACAGCGTACTAAAAGAGAAAACGAACCAATAACATTTAAGGTCTTTCCAGGTGGGAAATATAAAACTGGAAGTAGAAATGTGGGCCTTTAGCACAAATATGAGAAGTTCAAATATGCATAATAAAATTGAAGAAATCAGTTTACCGAGTTATTTCTGAAGATCGAGCATCTCCAACACAAAGGACAGGTACATTGAAGATAGTTAACGTCCTAAAAACGTCACCAAACAAGTCCCAAATCATTCCTAGGCCATAATATAATCATTTATGTACCAAACTTCACACGCACTTCATAGTATCACATAGGGGGATACGCACTTCTACTGTAAAAATGCACACGATAAATGTAGCTCACCTGAATCAACACCAAATAATCTGGTTACACTGAACGACAGTTCACACTTGCCATGTAGAACAACGTTTTCGCTGAATCGATACAAGGAAATATTGACCCCAAAATGTCAGACTGAACGAATTTCTCACCTATCACCCCGATCTAAATTCATAAGGAATTAATACAAAAATTACTGACTTCAAGTGTCATTTTCTTGTTCCGTCAGACCAGACTCAAAATAAACTGTATAAATCGTTTTCAATAAATTGAATGCACACTGCAGCACTCCTATCACACGGAAATACGTCAAACATCGTCTACAATATAATCGAAGCACTACATGGGACAAAGTGATTGCTCTCTTCTACGTGAGTACTAGGTAGCCGTTTGACGCCATAGCATAGCTTCTCTTCTTTCGATGCATGTAGAAAGCTATGGACATGACATTGGCTGTGAAATCGCGTTAGGTAGTGTTTGGATGTATCAAACCAAAATAGTATAAACAACAATTAGTCTCATATCAACACATTTGTAAATATTTAATTTAAGCAAAACAACTTATTGACTGTCGCCATCAAGTGAAATAATATAATCCATTGTATCAATGATATCGACATAAAATTGTCAAATCACTTAGTGTTACTTAAGAAAGCGTAGCTGTGAATTTACACAAATTAGCCTAATTCATTAATTCCGGTGCAAGAGGACAATGTGATGTGTATTTAAAATGAATTTCGACTTGCTGTGCATCGAAACTTTAAATGGAATAGCTTGTAATGCCGTGCTTCATTAATAGTTCACTTCGATAACCGTTATTATACCAATCTTAACGGTGTTTAAAATCAGAAGGCAAAAGGAAGCGGCAAGTACATTTTTATTGATAAATGATGCAGACCAGAAGGTTATAAGCACATGAGCAAATGTTAGCGAGCGAAGCATAAACGACATGTATTGGAGATGGATGGGAAGCCGACTTTAGAGCGAAGCGAAAATAATTCACATTTTGGAGATGGCGGGGAAGCCAACTCGCTAAGAGCAAGGATTACTCAATATTTATAGCCAGACAAAAATGAATGACAGACATATGATGAATAAGATACGAAGTGTGCATACACATACGCTCATATAAAAAGTAGTCAAGGTTAATAAGCGAATAATTAACAAGAACACATGAATCGTAATGTGTAGGTGAAATAGCTTGGCCAGTATCTAGAATAAAGTATATTGTCTTAACATAACAACTGATACTACAAGCTGTTAATCTCACTTTGCACATGACTTATCAATGTTCACAAATTTTGTGTGAATATCAAAGTCCTAAAAATGTTATTACAAGTAATATTGGTTTTTGACATTAAGATATTGACAGTACACTCATGATAGAACCAAATACGGTCAGTCGATACGTTAAATGCAACTTAGAACTTGACACATTTGTTCATCCCTTCTAGCTGCCTGTTATATCCCCTGGTGAATTATGAATGGTAAATCTGAAGTCTATTTATGGACAAATGTAATATGTCTATTTCCTATTGTATAGTTGTTAAATAACTGAACTATTCGTGTTCCTCTTATCGTAACCTTTATTTTGACCTTTGAACTATTATTATTGATTACTTTCCCCCTATCCACAGCCACATTGGCCAATTATTGTACAAATGTTATTTTTTGGTATATGGGGTCTGTTTGGTTAGTATATAAACCCAGTATGCTTGTGAATAATGATTCATACTGCCGATGCTGTTATTTGTGTTCTGGACTCAACTGGCTGGGCTAGGCAAATAGCAGGGCCGATACGCAATCAAGACTGCTCGTACAATTTCAAGTATCATTTGCCTCCGATCAATAAATTCATTCCTCTCCGATTGCACGTCCATATTATTACGAGTCATAACACTGCCATACATCAATAACCCAGTGATATGAAATTAAGAGGACAAATCCAAGAGTAGTAGGGTTAATAGCAGTAGTAATGGTGATGGAAGAGGTTATTCTTGGAAGGTACGATTCGATTCGAACACATCGTAATAGAAAAAGTTTTACGGTAATTTGGGAAATTACGATCTAAGATTAGACAAGGAGTCAATTCATCTGTGTCAGTGCGAACGGTTTTAAGCTATGCCCCCTAAAGTTTCCAATCGATGGTTCCGTTAATTATTAAAAAATCATCGAGGTAGTTTGTACCTACCTACATGACTCAGTTCAACCGTCAATGACTTGATGAACTGATGTTCCTTTTTTGGCTACCACTTGCTTTCTTACATTCTATCAACAAATCCTGGTAAAGACAGCCAACATACCAACAGCCTCTGCAGAATTAAGCCTCAAGACTTGGGAAAAGCAAGGTCCCGAAATGTAAATCAGAGAACAACCAAATTACTTGACTCAGAAACACTGGAACAGGTGGAAACTTTCAACTATCTAGGCAGCATCACTGATAAATAAAAAGGATCTGATGCAGATTTGAAGGCACAGAATGTTAAAGAAAAGACAGAATTCCTACAATTAAGGAAATTATGAAACTCTAAACAATTGTCAAGAAATATCAAAGTCAGGATCTTCAGTACGAATGTAAAGACGCTTCTACTTTACGGAGCTGGAACTTGGAAGTCTACTAAAACCATCATCAAAAATGTACAAGTATTTATGAGCAATTGTCTACGTAAGATATTGAATGTCCGTTGGCCGGATAGCATCAGCAACAGCCTACTGTGGGTTAGAAGGAAAAGGGAATTAGGAAAACACGCTGGAGGTGGATAGAACAGACATTACTGAAATCAACAAACTTCACTACGAGGTGATCCTTAACTTGGAATCCTAAAGAGGAATGGGAAAGTGGGAGACCAAAGCACACCTACTACCGGGAATCGGAAGCAGATATAATAAGGATGAATAGTAACTGGAAAACATTGCTCAGGACAGTGTAGGTTGGAGAATGCTGGTTTGCGTCCTATGCTTCACAAAGTGTAACAGGCTTAAGGTAAGTGAGGTGAATCTTTTCTTTTAACTTACTAATACTCCAGGGAACGTCTCGTCGAATTAGGCGTTTATATGGAATACGTAGTACATTTCCCAGGCATTTCAATTGATAACGACTCTCTACTTGGTAAATCTACTAGCCTACCTTACCTAATACTTTACGTATACCTCAGAATTGCCCATTTGATGGTCACAAAATACATAAATAATAGCTTGAAGACTAGTAACCTATTAATTATTTTCACTTTTAACAACCGCGTTTCGTATCCATGGAGTATATCTGGATGGATTGCTACTCAGTTTATTCGTTCGTTTCTACAAAGCACAAACCAAGCTTTCCAGAATGATCGCAAAATATCATATCATGAGTTGGAATTGCTCATGGAACCAACAATATAGTAGTGTGTTAAGTCCTTGGTTCCACTGAAAGAAAACCTGGTTTAGTAATTGAGTACTATTTGTTCGTTATATGTTATTGGTTAAACCAGTTAGTGCAGTCGAACGAGTTCAAAACCGAACATATTAAGAAAATCTTTGGCAGATAAGGGTGGTTTGAGGAGATCAAGGAACGAAGGTAGTTTTATTGGTGACCAAGATTATTGAGTTTTTGAAATGAAATAAACACAAGCCTACAGATGGGATTTAATTCTAGGGCATCATACATAGTTTTATACTGACTTGATTCTACTTATATGCTTAAAAAATTCTAGAGGTTCGTATAGTACCTAGTCGTTAAACAAATTAATGAAAAAATGTTTTATCGGTGATTGAGGGTTAGGAGTCAGAAAGATTACTATGTTAGGAAATGATAGCTGCAAATATCCGAAATATCTCCATTATTTACTGAAATTTGCTAAACTACTAGTAAGTAGTCAAATCGATTTTTTATTTTCAGTCAAGGGTGTTTAGGGGCTTCGCATAAATGATTATCACATGCCCTTGTATTTATCCTTAATTTCAAAGAAATTTGACTATTTTCGTGTGGTTTATTAAGTTGGATATATATCCAGACTTTTTATTAGTTATCACTCATAAGAAAGTCACAACTGGGAAATCAAAGAAGCTGATACTTTTGTACTGATTAGAAACCTTATCAGTCAATGCTTCAGTCATAGATGATAAAACTAATCTGTTCGTTACCTGAGTGGCTTTTAGAAGTGATCGACTACATTTTTAGGCTACTCAGTATTACAATGTCTAACTTTCGAATATATTCAACTAAGGTACAATCCTGTTTAAAATTGTTCTATAGAACTCAAAGATTTAAAGCAATAATATTGGTTACTGCTTAATAGTTAGTTCATTGCTTGGAATGTAGGCATAAGGACAGTGTGTCTATGAATTCCCTTGATAGTGGCCTCAAAAATCGGTACAAAAACATTAAACTCGTGCTCATTTATGTTATGACAGCTAATTTATGAAATAATTTATTTTCATAGTTCGAATTATGAACTGATGTTAGCTAGACCACCGTTGTACTCCTAAATGGAATAGACGGCCTTTCCATTCTAGCGTAAGTTTCCTCACCAATGCACACTTACGACTCTATATCCAGTAATCAAACGAAGTGTACAATCTAGAACTTGTATACATCAGTTCGAATTACCACATCCCATCAGTACAGCTAGATAAAATTGTCAGGGAAAATCCCAAAGCAGTAGATGAAGTAACAGTATTAATGGTAGTAGAAAAGATTAAACATACGGATACAATTTAAGAAGAAAGTTCAAATTAGTAGACAATCTTCAAAAAAATCTACGAGGAATTTAGTATCTTGGAATCTAAGGGATAAGTACATTACTCTTGACTTGGTTGAACTATGCAGGTCGATGATAGTTAAACACTGACACTATTGAATCCGAATTCATTGGTCTCTAGATAAGGATTTGAGCGGTAGTCTGAAAGTTACACATTCTCATTAGTTTATTAGAGTTAGACATTAATATTACTCTATCCCAGATCTCTGGTCTAGAATTTAGGCGTTTGCGCGCGTGACCACAGATCCTGGATTCGATTCATGGATTCCGGTTGGTGGTTGAGAACTGTTGAGGAGTCCCATACCAGATTGAAACAGCCGTCCATTACTTCCTTGTTTTCAGAGGTGGTCTAACTAAGATCAGTTCATAATTCAAACTACAGACATTCTACAATTTCTATAAACCATATTAACCTAAAACTAACTTATTTGTCTTCCAAACTATTCACAATATATACTACTTATAATTTTATAAATGCAATATGAATGAAAAACTTTTTACATTTCATTATAATCGCAAACTATTTTTGATACTTCTAATGTGAAAAAAGGTGTTTTCAAAATTTACCACAACTCTTCAATATTATTAACCTCTAGTTCTTATATAAATCAGTAGATATATATTTAATTACTTAACATTATCAGAAGTGGGTTTTGTGGAGATTTTAGTAATTTTATATAGTTGGAATCATGAGTCAATTGAAGTTAGACTACCATGGAAAATCTGGAAGAACCGGAAGACCGTTTCGTCTTATTGTGGGACGCCTCAACAGTGCGTATCAACGATCCTAACTCGCGAGATTCGAACCCAGCGCGAGACTGATACGTACTGGGTTCGAATCTCGCGAGTCGGGATCGTTGATGCGCACTGTTGAGGAGTCCTATAATAGGATGAAATGGCCGTCAAGCAGTACTTCCAGGTATTCCATAGATGGTCTAGCTTCAATTGACTCATGATTTCAACTATATAATTCACATTACTTCCTAATTTTTCATAATTAAATACTTTGTTGCCAACATAAGAAAAAAATAATTTATTTTTACACGATAACTTATTAATTCTTTTAAATTTATTAATCTAGACATTTTGATTGAATTTTGGAAATGATCAAATTTGACCTGACAGATTTAAGAAAAACTGAATTATTCAAGCATATTAGCATTAGTTAATGCATAAATCTGTGAATAAAAAGAAAAGAAAAAGGTTGTTGACTTATTTGTTTACTTGGTCATTCAATTTCGTGTTTTTAGGCCAAGTTATTATAATTGTATTAATATCAATTTGATTATTTTTACATAAATCTAGTCAAGTTATAAATAATACTACTTATACTACTACTATTATTACTACTACTTATACTCCTCCTCCTACTACTACTGTTACTACTACTACTACTTGTAATACTACTACTAATACTACTACTACTACTACTCCGACCACTACTACTACTACTACTAATAATAATAATAATAATAATAATAATAATAATGGCAATTTAGTAAACATTATTAAAAATTACTCAAGTGCAACGTTGATTTTCAAGGTGATAAGAGTTTAACTTAAACAATAAAGGAACCATTTTCTTAAAATGAACAACTTATCTAAAAAAATAAATGAATAAGGCTTCTTTAAAAAGAAAATTATATTAGCACCAAAATAATCTTTTTTTTTTCATTCTTTTATTAACACTTAAAAGGTAATTGTTTGTCCTTAGACTATTTCTTTAGGTATGAACTAAACTGTCAGATATTTCATTAATAAATATTGTAATTAATTGTGATGGAGCAAGTGAGTAAGCGTTTTTGGTAAGCGAATCCTGAAGGCTTAAGGAGAAGAGGAAGACTGAAGAACATATTACATCAAGAAATGGAAACAAACATGAGAAGAAGGAATAAAAATTGGATAGAACTAGAAAGGAATGCTCAGGACAGAGTGGATCGGAGAATACTGGTCGGTGGCCTATGCTCTATTGGGAGTAACAGGCGTAAGTAAGTTAGCAAAAGCTAGTGAGTAACTAATAGTGTAGTTTCGTGAGGGAGAGCCAACTAGTTGTTTATGAGTTGATATTTTGATAATAATGTATAATATGTTTTAGCATTTAGTATTTGTTCATGATATGTCAGTCGACATTTATTCTTTAATTAAGAATTCGATACCCCTGGTCTCGATCCGATGTCAAGTCAGTAGTCTAGAGATTCGATCTTCGGGTGAATGCGTACTGTTGAAGAGTCCCGTACTTGGTTGAAACTTCAGTCCAGTGCTTCCAGGTTTTCATTGGTGATCAGTTTGCGTTTCAAACTTTGAAAGCTCCATAGACTTTAGAAAACCCTCTATGCTAACAAACTGTATTATTTTACACAGTATTTTATTCATATGTTTTGAATACATTCTCTATTCCTTTGGTGTCTACTCATGATCCACGTTATGTTTTTTTTGTTGACCTCAAAGTCCAACAAATTGATGTTTAAATATCGAAAGGTACATGTCCCTTAAAGATGCTTGTAAATACTTTGTTGGTAAGTGGTAATGAGCATTTGAACTAAGAGAAAGTCCTATCTCTGACTGAATTCAAGTAACTTACGTTTAAATAAGTTAGCAACTCATATATATATATATATATGGCTGAACTACTGAGGAACCAAAAAGATTCTTCATGTTCATGGTGGAAATATCAAAGTAGGGTTTAATATTCACTGTTAAGAATTAGGATTATTATTTGAGGTTAACCTTTTTCTTTATAAAATGAAATGAGATATACTCTCAGGATCCTAATATCTATGTCTTAATCCTAATTTTTAGCATAATAAATGTTGTTTGATTTGGTAATGAAGATAAGTTCAATGCAAACTCTCAGTAATCTCAATGTATTACGTTATTAGTGTGACCTTAAACTCTTAAATTTGGATATATATCAAGTCTAGGGTGTTCATTACTGGGTAGATAATGATCAACATTTTTTAAAATAACAATATACAGATCCTTATATTTGGCTTTAAGCCACTAGTTGTGTGATATTTTCTGGTAGGCGGACAGAAGTAAATGTAACAAAATCTCAACCTTTTGGCTACTAGTGAAGGAATAGGGCGCTTTAGCAATTAATACATCATTCTGGAATGTTACGAATATTTAGCATATTCTACTTTCCAATGATTTTCAATCGAATAACACTCGGTTATAAAAACAGTTGTTTATTTTTGCTATCGACGGTTTGTGGATATCGTTTGATATCAGAGTGCATATCATGGACTAATCTAATTGAGACAACTCTTAAAAACTAGGAAGCACTGAAAAGTTGTTTCGTCCTAGAATACCACTCCTAAGCAATATATATTTACAACCTCTCCCGGAATCAGACCCAGGACCTCCAAGTATCTCAGTGAGCCTTTAAACTTGAGACCGCTGAGTTAGCATTACATAGTGTATGGGTTTAATTTCAACTAGTTCGCGATACTGTGGTTGATGGATACGTACCGATGAGGAGTATCAAACTAAAACACAACAACTATCCAGTGTATCTTGGCTTTCAATATCTGTCTAACTAAGATTTGTCCGCAGTGCAAACTGTGAAATAATCTGTTTTGTTTGTTCACTATATACAGTTGATTCCAATCTCTGCGTCAATAAAAATGGCTCGGAAAAATTGTGGGAAGTCACACTCATGAAGCCAAATAACAAATGAAGGTAGTTGCGAAAGGAATATGTATAAAAATTAGGATTAAAATAGGAAACTCTTACTTTTGTACTTTTTCATAAGGTCAGATTGATATGCTTGACTGAAAATAAAAAAACGCACTCACAATCAGATCACTGTTTAATGTTAGAGGGAGATGGGTGGCTAGTTGAAATTTAGGGGATAAAATTGTACTATTAACTGAAGATTTTTTGTGGTCTATTCATTCACATAGGTTTGTGTATTCTAACTAACTAACTAACTATCTAGCTAACCTATTTACCTCTTTAAGTTGTTTTCTGTTTAATTTTACGATTTTAATCTTATAAACAAATGGTTGGTTGTATGAATTCAATTAACAAGCATACGAGCAACAGTGTGTAATACAATAAACTTTTCAACATTTTTAATCAAAAAGCGACTAATCAATTTCAGTGATCAACATCAATGAGAAGGTTCAAATAACCGATACAAATGAATTAGACTTCATTGCATCGCACAAGTCAGTGGCTATCTGAATTCAGTAGTTTGGTGGATAATGCGACGGCGTTTGAGGCGAATGATATTGTGTTCGAGTCTCAGAGCGGACATCAATTTTGCGATGGAAATGAATCCAACTGACGAGTCCCAGATAGAACGAAATACGTATCCTGACTCCTACTGCTAACCACTATCCATTTCCGCTTATGATGCATGTAGCTTAATGGTAATACAGAAGCAATCGGTATAGGATACCATATATGTCAAAAGTGACTGATCAATTACTGTCCCAAATACCAATAAGAAGATTCAAACAACCAGTATGAATTTTTAATTATTGAATATAAAAGTACTTGTACACCCGAATATTTATTCTTCTTAATTATATTTTGATGTATAAGGGAAAGGAATAGATTTTTGGCAATGTATTAGAGAACCCATATAATCAGGTTAATAGAAGCATAAATAGGAAAATACAATTTACACATTGCTAGATTACAAATGGAGCTGAACTGAATAACAGACCCCTAATAAATAAATAGTAACTTAAGGAAGGTACAGCAAAGAACAATAATGTATTCACTCAACGAAAGCTTACAATTAAGAGAGTGTAAGAATGAAGTAATTCAAGTCCCTAATGTTTATACAATAAAAATACAAACGATAATTCTTCGAAAAATAGTCCCAAAAATTATACCTTCCACTGGGTTCGAGTCCCAGAGTGAACATCAACTCTGAGATGCAGGTACATCCAGCTGAAGAGTCCCAAATAGGAAGAAACGCGCATCCTGGATTCCACTGCTAGCCATTATCCATCATTGCTTATGATTGCACTTTGCTTATGCATTTGATATTAAAAGCTTAATATCTAATCTATACATTCACATAGAAATAGTTGTTGATTCATTGTTCCGGTATGATAATTTCTTTATTTTAGTGTGTGTGATAAATTACTGTGTCCTCTTATTCTTTTCTTTCCTTTATGCAATTAAGATTAAACGTTTTATGTCATGTTTTTCTTTTTTTGTCTGGTTATTGCTCATTCTGTGTAATTTAGGTCAATCACAATCTTCGGATACTACTTTTATTAAATTCATGATGTTAGTTTATCGGTTCTAGTTGTTTCCTGTTTTTCATGTTAATCAGATTCCTTTAATGTTTTCTAAAGTATTCGTCTAACAAATTTACTCATGGACAGTCATATTATTAACCATTTGTCATACTATTTATTTATTTATTTCCTAAAGCTCAGATCTAGTTTATATTGTGTTATCTTGTACATCATTACAACCAATACAGATAATCAATGAGATGAAGGTTGTAGGTAGCTGATTAGAATTTACGACATAGAAGAAAGTTACGCTCTCCTTGATGAAACAGCTCAGATAAGTGTATATAAATATATCATTTTAGTAAGCAAAGATGGATGGTGGCTAGCAGTGGGATCTAGGACTCGCGTTTCGTCCTATTTGGGGCTCAGTAACTGGATTTAGATGCATCCCAGAGTCGATGATTACTCAGAGATTCGAATCCAGTACTGTTCGCTTCAAACGCAGTCGCTTTATGCTGGTAAATCTTGCTGACAAGTCCCAAATAGGATGAAACGTGAGTCCTGGATTCTACTACTAGCCATCATCCGTCTTTGCTTATAATGCCGTCCAGTGCTTCCAGGTTTTCGATGGTGGTCTAGCTTCAATTGACTCATGATTTCAACTATAATGCTTTTGACATAAGTAAATATAGAAGTAATCCGCACAGAATGCACATATGTCAATAAAAGACTGATCAATTACAATCCTAAACATCAATCGGAAGTTACAAACAAACACTACGAAATGAATTTATCATTTTAATCGTTTTCACACCATTTAATTTTCTGTCAATTAGCTCAAATTAATCCTTTAGCAGAGATAGTACAAGACATTTCTAATCGCTCAATAATTTAAATTTGACCTAAATATATTCTTGTTTAAGTATTTAAGAATATAGTTAAATTAATGAGCTTTGGTTTATTAGAACGTTAAATCATAATTCTTCGTTAAGATACTGGTGAAATTTTCTATGATGCACACACCATTGGATGCTAGCTTAGTGATCTAGAGGTTAAGTGTTCATGCGCGAGATGAAGACCTTGAGTCCAAACTCTGCGTGAGGGATCGTGGATACTCACTGCTGAGGAGTCTCATACTGAGACGAGATGGTCATTCAGTTATTTCATGTTTTCCATGGTGGTCTAGCTTTAATCGGCTCATGAATTCAATCATTAGATTATTTATTAATTACGAAATTCTATTTATTTACCCGGTATGCTGTAGTATCCGAAAAACAAACTAGTATGATGGTACATATAAGAAATGGTATGATCAAAAAGGCAAGATGGAAATTCCAAATGAGAAATAATTCACCGT